CTGCTAGAGGAACAATCACACTTTGCCAATAATATGTAAAAACCTGTACATCATCAATGTGAAATCAGCCATTGCACAAAGTAATTGTCTACATTCCCCCCAATGTAATTTCTTCCACTATTAAAAATGCACATTTTCATAAACGATTTCATTAAACATGGTTGCTGGCCTTTTAATTCTCCAGGACCGGCTTGCCATGCTTCACTGCCACCGGCACGACTAGGGTGATACAGGGTAAAGTAATCTCCATTGTCTATTCAGAGCAGAAATTAGATTCTAGAGTCACCCGTAACAAAACAAAAGACTAGAAAAGGATTACTTTGCTTCCTTTTAACTAAAGGGCTACCATCTCCCAGCCTGGCTCCCATCATGGATTTCCTGTTCAGCGAGCTGCATTTATTCAGAAGGCACAACATTTATTTTCCATTTCTAGTAGGTTTTCCAGATTTTCCCCCTCTTTTACTTCATCTTTCTTCAATTTCACACACACACACACACACACACACACACACACACACACACACACACACACTATCCTTCCAGTTCATTGAAATACAAAGTAGATTATCGGCCCTGCTTCAGATTCCCATTGCATTCAACGTGCTCCACTTGGCTTTTTAAAAAAAACAAAACATCTCCAGTTTATTTATCATGCTTTGCTGGAGGACACTAAGCACAGCTACTATTGTATTTCATTATTTGCTTATATCCTGAGCCCATACATCCATGGCTTCATTTAATGCAGGGCAGCAAATCGAATAAAAGCAAGGCAAAGCAAAATACAAAATAAGTGCACAGGGCTAAGTGCATCCTTACGTTCAACTTTGTGGGGAGAACAAGTAAAAACACTTGCAGGGTTTAACAAAATATGCAATGTACTATTTTGTTTATGGTTCCTATAATAGTATTATTGTGTTCCAGAAAGCATGACCTCCCGGCATTGCTCTTTCCTTCTTGACAAAAGAGTACATTATTGTTTTAAGAGCAGTCTTAAATCATGAGATATAGTGGAGCTCAGTAATGTAGTCAGGAGAAAACATGCCTGTTTGTGCTTTTAAGAACTGCTCTTAGCATGTTCTCCCAGAACGTTGCACTTTAGGAATACTGCAGGGTATATAAAGCTCACCTGTGCTTTACCAATGTAGTACAAAGCAAGAGGGTCATTCTAACCTCTTTAGCGTTAAAGATAAACATGACTTGGGCTTTGAATTCTGTGGAAACATGGTTAATCATGACTGCTACTCTAAGTAAAGATGCTTCAAATTTTGGGCGGTTCTTGATGGAGCTTATCGCAGAAGGGTGAAAGCCACCGACGTAAGGCATACTAAGGTGGCCAGCTGGAAACAGTTGTTTTCCGCCATATGCCTTATGTCAGTGCAGGGAAAGGGTTAATTGAACAAAAAAAAACAAAAAACAGTTTCTGACCATTCCTTTATTAGGCAAAAAATGATGCAATCCTTAAAGTTAATCGTCAAAATAAAAAAGTCCCGCCACCCGCCGACCCTACCGCCAAACTCCTGGCTCAAAATGACAGGTCCGGGCCGAAGGTAAACAAATGGGCGGAGCGAGTTGTGACATTACTGGACCATGAATTGGGGAGGGGAACTGCACTTTTTTAAATCTATTTTTTAACAATTGCCAGGGATTCGGACCATTCTCCCCGCTCCGACTGTATGTTCAGCTTTGCCAAGTAGAAGCATGTGTGTTTGTCTCGGCGGTGTACTTTGGATGACCTCGGCTGCTGTACGCACTGTTGAGAATAGTGCGTACAGCAGTCCTTCGGTTCAGCTGAACTGAAGGGTTTCTACAGCCGAAGCGAGCCGATGGATTAGCCGAACGTATAGTAAATACAGCACTATAGGGGGGTCGTCTCATACCAAAATGTCAAAATTGTTCAGTTACATTCTGAAATCTCAAATGCATGACTTCAAACTGAAGAAAGTACTTGTTTGTTTAGATCATTGTTTACATTAGCAGATTGTTTTCCCCCGTGTTCTAGAATATGGAATCAGAATGCCATCTGTAGTGACTTGAGAGGTGTAAAGAGAAACAGATCAGCTATAAACCAATCAGCACAGCAGCAAAATAAGATGATATTTAACTGCACTAAGACATAAGCAGTTGATGCAATCCATAGAATAATGGAGGAAGACAAACTAAAAATGAATACAATTTGCAGATAAGAATACTTGTATGTTAATGCAGTATGCATATCATGAGCTTCATTTAAAGCAGAACTACGGATAAAAAAAAGCTGCAGTACTCACCTTAAATGCAGCACTGTGCCCGCATTCTACTAGTTGCCACCAGTCTTTTGGGTTGAATTAAGGCCAGCATCAGTTAACCAACTTCCTTTAAACCTAGGTTGTCACATGGGGTACATCATTACACTAGTCTGGGCTTAGCCTGGACTTCATTACGTGAACATCATTTATCACAGCAGATCAGAGCAAAGACCACCCACCTCCCCATCCAGAGGAAAAAGACTCATAAAATCACCAGAGCAGGCAGAAGACCCTTAGAAAAAAGTATGTACATAGCTAAACAAAAAGTCCTGTGGGGTCTGGTTCTTCAGGTAGACAACTAAGGGCAGGAGTGGAGTAGTTCTTTATAGCGCCACTTTTAGTGCTTTGGCTACACTAAATTCAAAAATAATGCAACTGGAGGTTTTTAAGACTGTACGCTAAGCTAATATACAGAGACAGGCAAACCTTCTGTCACTGTATGCTGTGTTGTAGCTTGGCATGTTTGCCTGTGCTACCCCCATTCCCACCCCACCTGTCACTGGTTGTTAACAACACTGTCAGCTGCACAGCAGCCAGCCTCCTAGCAGTCAATGATGCTGACAGTGGGCAGAGCCTGGTGGGGATGCCAAGGGACTAGTTTCCCAACTAGTGATTGGCAGTGGGCGGATTCCATAGCCAATAGCAGGCTGTTTATTGGTTTTTAAATCTTCCTACTTCCTGATATTAATCACCAGGGTAGAGGACCTGATGAGGAACTATTCCCGGTAATAACAATTCTAAAAAATTATTTGTCGTGGGGTTACATTTAAAGAGGGGGGTATTTTTAAAGAGTGTCAGAGATACTCTTAATGAATTTCCCCCATTATCTTTAGCACTAAAGATATGAATTGAAGATATATGGAGATATGAAATTACTGTGACTATTTAATATTTGCCTTGTGCAGGCAGCAGCTAGAGCTCTAGACTCCAAATATTTTCTGCACATGAACACAATCAGCAATTACTGCTCAAATTGAAAATAAATGATGCACATATATAACGTATACAATTATAAAATCTATATATAATTAAAAAATAAATTACATAATATACATATTTCCAACATTTACTTTGCAAAATGAACAGTCTGTACTCTTTTAGCAAATCAACACCATCATCTTTGACAGTAATGAATACTGATGAGAATTGTCAGGCACGAGCTCACCCAGATGAATGCTGTGCTCCAGCAATTCTTTACAGCGTTTATAGTGTTTTGTGTCTAATGACACAAAGCTAGCCAATTAGTTGTGTTTTATAAAACTTTCAATCATTGGTTAGTTAATAAATAACTGCATTCATTGGTGTTATCCTATATGTGTCTGGCGTTTAACTTTAATAAAGAACTGCAAGGACTGTGCTTAAAGTTTAGCAACCCTTGCCAACTAGCAAACCAACCAATTAACCAGCCAACCAAGTTTTTAATATATATAATGACTGCCCTTTGGAACAGTTTATTAAATAAACCCAGAAAGGGTTTTTGTTTCTCTGACATTGCACATTTTATGTAGCCAGTTTACATGCAAATTGTGCATATTTCTTATATTAAAAAGTGTAAACTGTGGGTTTACAGTCTCTTTAATGGTAGATTTTTTTTTTTTTAATTTTAAACACATTATGCCAAGGAGATTCAAGATAGAAAAAGTGAACAAAGCACAATTTTACAACAGAGACAACAATAAGGTCAAAATAATTACACAAAATTATAAATAAATCTAATATAATTAGACACCGAGCTGAACTGAGAGTAGACTGATACTTTTTCTTTATGTTTAATATTTAATGTTGCTGTATAAAGATATTATGTGCTAATTGATGCATGTGTTTGCTACATAATTTCCAAGCCTTGCATCAGTAGCTATTATATTACAGACATTGAAGCGGAATATTTTAAACTCGGAGTCATTAATCATACATTTTCACCTTTTACTAAGGGCAGTAAAATCCAATAGAAGGTGAATTGCATTACTGACAACTCAGGTCAAATGAGAGGAGGGGAAATTAACAAATTCTTACATTTCAAAAAGCACACCAGAGTAGAAAAATGTATTTCCAGAAGATTTCTCTTTCAAAAGTGGCTCTTTATATTTCTCATTATTAAGCTGCTTTTATGTATGACTCTTACATTGTAATTGGGCTATTTGTTGCAGTGTGCTCACTAACTTGGTCCATAACCAACCGATCATTATACACAAGGATGAAACACTAATACACCTTGTTTACCAAGCCTGCTATTTGGAGCACTTAACAAGTTTATCGTTGTAGAGAGATAATAGTTTATTTTTCACTGCAGGTGAATTGCATATTTCTTAAATGTATCTTAAAGTGAACCTGTCACCAGCACACCAAAAAATCCTTTCAGGATAACCATGTGTTCATTTAATAAGCACCAAGTCAAGTAAAAACTGTTTTTTACTAGACATGGTTCTTATTAAATGAACACATGGTTATCCTGAAAGGATTTTTGGTGTGCTGGTGACATTTCTTCAATTTCTTCAATGACTGCCATCCGCAGTCACTACAAGCACTCTCCCTTGTCATTGGGTCATCCGGTAAGGAGTGCAACAAGTTTATTTCTATAATCTTAAAGTGAACCTGTGCCCAGACAATGCACATTAAAATATCTATATATTCTGTGCAAACAGTTAGAGCAGTGTAAAGCAAGCCCTCGCTCACCTCTGTATCTAAAAGCATAGTGGTCCATTCTCCTAATCAGAGCAAGGTATTTTTTTTTCTCTTTTTTTAAAACAAACTTTATTGCTTATGTTTTTTCAATGAATAGGTTGTTTATGAAAAACATAAGCAATAAAGTTTGTTTAAAAATTAGAGAAATAAACATACCTTGCTCTGATTAGGAGAATCGATCAGACACGAACACAGCAGAAAAGAGTAAAACAACGGCACATGCAGGCAGCAGCTGTTGCCAATCTAAAGTGGTGGGGATGTGGATGTCGGGAGGACGTCATCCTGTAGTGCTGGCTCAGGTCGGGAGTGCGCACACAGACACCATGTAACATTTCAGAGAAGAGGCAGTCAGCTGCAAAACGGAAGTTCTCCCCAGCATAAGAAGAGATAAGGATTTAAAAGGAAGAGCAGCAAAGAGAAGGGAAACTACCATGGATTACAGTAAGGCACACATTACAGTATTGGTTTATGTTAAAAAAATCTGGGGGTTTAATGTCACTTTAAAGAGTTGGGCTTACAGCTACTGGGAAAAATTCTTAGTTTTGTGTATAGACAATGGAGGAACAAAGAATCCATGTTACAGAAACATGAAATTCTGGCTTCAATGAGGCTGTGTTTGCATGTCTAATGGAATCACTTATCTCCAGTACTTGTTCCCTGTTATTTCTGTAAATCAGAAACGTCTGTGGTGGAGATCCCATACCTGTTTGTCGATACTTACAGAAGACAGGAAGGACAGCAGGCTATTTTAAAAAAATGAAATGAGCGTATTAGCACAGTTTGGTCTACGGTAACATGCACTGATGATCTTCTTAAATGCTCTTGAACTGGTCGTAAAAGTGCTCGGGAATGTAATGTGTTCATCAGTCTTGTAGTGAGATTATTTTTCCTACTGAAGATAAATGTATATTTCTATGTTCCTGGCACAGTTAATGCTCCTCATAGCTTCACAGGCCACCTTGATGAATATGAGCTAATGTCTTCAGAGCTGCTTTCTCCCACCACTCAGGATTACACTCAGATAGGGTACTTAAAACTGATTGCACAGGAGAAAATTCATCGCAGTTCCTCTAGACCAACACTGTGCATATATTACAGCCTCATCTTGCTGGGCAGTTCATAACTCAGGAGAGGCTTAGTTTATATTGTTTTGTCTTCATCATTTAGTTGACATGTTTGAGTGTATTTAAAGTGAGCCAGTGCTGCAGTAACCACACAGTGCCTCATTTGTTAAAGCCAGGTTCATGCAGCCGGTTAGGGTTTTTGGCCAGTGTCAACAGACTTGGACGGGCAAATGCAGATTTTTTTTTTACATCAGTTTGAGATACTTTTGAGATCAATAAGAATGCATTGCAGTTGGGGCTAATCTGCAGTTGACCTGCATTTATATATCAGACTCCCCCTCTCAGACACTGCAGCTCACAGTGGGAGGGTTTCTGCAACAGAGGCTGTGCTGTCAATCGAGAAAGCAGTGGAAGGAGTTAGGTGCAGCCAAGTGCTCACAGACAAGCTACAGGCTTGTGAATAAGCAGTGACAATGCTAATAGCCACATTCTCTGCAAAAATGTTTCATTCCACTGTAGTGCAAGCAGCCATAGCCCACATGAGAGTGGAAACTCTGCTCTGGATTTAGGAGCCGTGCAGGATGGTTGCCACCCCATCACAGGAAGCGTTACTGGCAGGAGCACCAGATATTTGTGAGACTTTGCAGGGTGACTAAGAGAAAACTGAAAGTGCAATTACATTAAGGTGCAGCACATAAGTTGTTTTTTTTTTTTAATGAGATGCCCTAGTTCTACTTTAGTTTCAAACAGTAGTATAAAGAAAAAACTTTACCTGATCATATTTTCTCTTTACATCTTTGTGAGCTGCATGACTGGGTGTGTGGCTTTTGACTTTATGTTTTGTGATAATTTGTGTCCGTCTTTCCCAACCCAAAATGTTTGGTGGAAGGAGTCTGTGGGAAGTAATTTGCTATGAGTAATCAAGTGAAAACCAGTTAATTGTATCTTGAATACAATGTTGAAATTAGATTTGTGATATAAAATCTTACTAGATTTGTAAAAAATATTTTAGTTGATTCTTCTTTGATTTTAATGGAAAAATATTGCTTTATGCTCCATTGGCCACATGCAGAATAGATCTGCTGGTATATAGTGCGAATATAGCCTGATATTATAGAGCAATGTATTCCAAACTGTTTGCAGCTGCTTCGGGCCATGTGACCACCATCAGTGTAGTGTTTGGAAATCATGGCTTCTGTGGAGTAGGGCGTGGGACCCAATGTGATATTATAACCACACTATTTATAGGGAAAAGGGACTAATCAGAGAGCAGTCAAGAAGCCCTCATTCTCACCTGTGTGTAGCACAATAAAACCATCTTTAAAAAGAAGGTATTTACATGTCTCATTCCATCATATATCCCCAAAATAAGAGGATTATTTCAGTACAGTGGGTGGAGTCATGGAATCATTTCTTAACATAGCCTGGAACAGCCATATGCAGTTTGGAATAAATAGCTCTATAGTATTAGGCTGTATTTGCACTATACGCCAGCGGTTCTAAAATTAGCCAATAGGGCATAAAGCAATATTTTTCATGGCTCGGCCTGAAATGAGGAAGAATTCTTATGTTTTTGAGATATGAAATAGAATGAGAAATGTGAATACTTTAATATGCTTCTTGCTGATTAGAGTGAAGACTTTTTTTTATTGCTTTAGCTCCTTCTCACCATAACATATTGTTATACTGTCTCTTTAAAAACGGTCCCTTCCCATTTTTTTTTTTTGACAATGTGGAGAAGTGCTAGAACCTTTTTTTCCCCAGTTAGGTTACTTTTGGAAGTGATTCCTTCACTTCCTGTCCTAGTGACCACACAGAAAGTGAAGTGACATTCACCCCAGTGGGGGCAGACATCAGTAAAACCCTGAAAAAGATTGCTTATCCTTCCCTGCTCTGTTCAAAACAAACACATTGTGAATGGAACTCCACTTTAAAAATAAAAAGTTGTATCTCCAACAAATGCAATACCTAGTTACACTGTTTTGCTATCACTTTCTATGAATCAAAGTAGGCTGGGACATAATACCATGCTATGATATTTGCCGCTGCAGCAACAGGGACCCACACACAGAACCGTGAATTTGAAGGGTGTATTATGACAGATCGTGAAATGTCTTTTGTGATTGTCTAGTGAAACATGTGTTTTAATTACATGTCTGGTGTTTATTTCTTGTCACAAATGAACTCCGGGACGAATGGTTCGATGTTGTGAAATTAGCCATGTATAAATAATAATCACTAATTACAGTATTTGTCACCCTCGGATTTCTGAATTATCTAATAGATTCCAGTGTCTAACTTGCAGAAGGGTTCTCTCTCTCTCTCCAGAAAAAAAAAGAGACTCTAGCAATTTTATTCATGGCTGAATCCCATAGAAATGTATACAATAATTATAGAAGTACAGTCTCACGCTGGTCATCCACGTGTCACTTATGTGGCAATTCTAGAAGTTTTCTGTGAGTTGATTTGATTTTAAAATGGCATTCAATGCTCCATGGGAATCTGCTGTATCAATAGATTGCCAGTTATGAGGAACCAAATGATAACAATTAGGGCAATTTCAACTGAAAATGCCTTCCGCTGGTATGTGGTGGCTTCAATTGATTTTGTTTGGTCGCTTGAACATAGTCCTGCGAAAAGAGATTGGTTTGGCTTTGAGCCAGGGCTAGATTAAGGGCCACTGATTCCCTAAGCACAGCCCAACATTGGCACCTCCCTCCACTGTTTAACTGGCAAGACATTAAAGTCTTTGTTTTAATAATGAATCCAGATCAAACAAATATATATATATATATTGAACGGTAAAGCATTTCTTTTTGCTCAAGCACTTCCAGTCATCATGTTTCTTTCTCAGATATGCTTCCCCGAACTTCCTGTCCAGTACAAGATCACATGTCTCCAACAGTCGTCCATCTACTTGCTTGGAGGAGTGAGGATGGGAGAGGATGGAGTGGGGGTTAAGGAACAGGGGAATGGCTTGCCTTGCTGATCTTGTGTGTTTGTGGTACCTTTCATAGCCCAATATCACTGCTCCTTCACAGCAGCATTAGAGAGTATGTTGGGTGCACACCAGCCGAGCCCATCTTGAACCAGCATCAGCAGTTACTCACAGAAAAAAAGTCTGGTTGCACACCACAAGCTTCACTGAAAAATGTATTATAACACACAGGTACACATCGTCCCATCATAGATCATTTTTCTGTGAGGAACTGTGTGTTTGTTGTACTAGAACACACAAGGGTGACTCTATAGGACCCTGCAAGCCACGCTAATAGCATAAAACATCAGGACCAGTCCTCAGGGGACCAGCTGATTCTACAGAAAGCTAACATTTTTAAACATCAAGGAGCAGTGTCAATTGTAAGTAATTTCATCAGCATTTGAAATATCTTAATGACCTTCTGACTTTATTATGACTTTAAGACTATTTACAAACATTCAGTTTTCTTCCAGGTCAGTCCCAGGCCATATCCATCAACTATATGGAATCAAAAATGTTTTATTTTCTTTACTTAAAGAGGAACTTTACCCATACCTTCACAATAACAACAAAGAAACCTTTAGAAATGTTTAGTAATGGCAATCTACAAACACATACTTCTAGATAATTGCCAGCTTTGTATTCTTTGCATACTTTATTTCTCTTTTCTTCTCCAGTCTTCTCTCAGTGGCCATTTTTACTAAGGGCAGATGAATCCATCTCCCTTTACTTCATGGAACTCAGCCACATGTGACTAGGACATGTGACCATGCACATCATCTTAGGGGAGGAAAATGCAGCAATGCTCTGCTGATGTAACCTTCCCGGGATGCAACCCTTGGGCACAATTACATCACTTTTGCCAAAGAGAGCCAGGAAGTAGAAAAATATGAATTCTAAGTAAAATAAAAATATGTTTGACTAACCAATGAATATAAGATGATGTCATATCAAAGCTGCATGCTGATGGGATTTTTAGCCAAAGTGGGTAAT